TAATTGAGGTAAAAACAAAGTCAGTCCATTTTGAAGCAATACATACACACATCTCGCGCTGGAAATATAAAATAAAGACAACAGGACAACAGAGCCCGAAATCAATAACATAATTTCGACTAGTATGGCGGGCCGGATTAAAAAGCCAAATGGGCCGCTTCTGGCCCCCTGGCCGTAGTTTGCCGCATTCCTGTTTGAATCCATACATTCTTTTTTTACGCTGGATCAGTGTCAATCGCATTGAAACCATGCAGCACCAGAAGTATTTTATGGATTGGACAGCTTCAGTATAACAACATTATAAAAAAAATCAGATAATATATATGTATACACAATATATATATATATATGTGTGTGTGGGGTTTTTTTTTTAACGTTGTCAATGTACTGCAAGTCAATATATATGTGTGTGTGTGTGTTTTAACGTTGTCAATGTACTGCAAGTGCAAAAAAAATGTGAACACCCCTGGTTTTGGAGGTATGTACCACCTGCTGGGCACAGTCTGTTATGGTGTGGTCGGGTTAATTACAAACATTAAAGCCCTACACACCATTGCTTTCCGTCTGTCGGGGATATATCCTGCTTTTATCCAGATGATGAACTAAGCACCTTCTTCTTTTACGCGTGAGGCAATGTTGGGGTTTATGATCCACTTACTCAGGGTCTCATTTTCTTTTTTTAAGTGCTGGCAGCTTAAAAAGCATTTGTTTCAGAGGTTGCTTTTTTTTAAAATGTATTAAAAGTCTGAAAAAAACAAAAATCAGTTCCACTTTGTTGCCCCATTAGCCAGTAGTGTTCTTTTAATTCTTTTAATTCTAAAAGAAGCAGAGTTTGCAAGCTGCTCACACTGCGGCGTATTTAAATAAACTTTGAAAAAGTTGAAAAAGGCACAAGAGTCTGGAGATGGTGATGAGGCTTTCTTTCCTTCTAATTGCCCGTAGTTGTGCAATTGCAGCTTATTGCCCTAATTTATTAGGGGGAAAGCCTCATTATTGAGAGTCACTGAAGCTAAGACGCCAACTTCCTTCAGTCTGTGATCTGTTGCCTAAAGTGCACTTAGTCATATGTGTTACTTATCGTCGTGCTGATGAGGACATATGTTCTGTGCAAAAAGATTGGTAATCTTACTAAACACAGGAGAATTTAAGTAGAGTAAAATAAAGTCGACAGTATTATAATATTATTGTTGTGTATGTAACGCTCACTCCTTTTTCGGTTTATACTCCTTTATTCGTATAGATGTAAATAAAAAAAAAAGGCTCTCCTGGCTGTATTCCAAATTATTAACATGTAACAAATCAACATCGATGCGCCGGAATGAGTCTATTCCAAATTATTAACATGTAACAAATGAGTTTATGGTTGAAAACAACAACGTGTCCTTAACAATCTAGCCAAAAAAACGGAGCTTCTTTAGTTCAGTCGCAGTAAGTCCTGGCGCTCTTCAGTCTATTTTCACTTTTTAGCAGGAGAGGGATCGTCTAAAGATTGGCCAGTGAAACTGAATGTCGTAACTGAATGTAGCATATCAGCAGGGGGGGGGTCCGGGTTTCTCAATCTGTTTCGCGTTCCTGTGCCGACTCGCGAAGTGCTTGCTCAGATTTATACAAAAATACAATTTTTTCTTCCCACACAGAGTGTACAGCGGACACTAATGTTTGTGCCATTTTTTACAGTGTGAAGTAATGTCAGTATTTCCAAGCAGTAACCACTCCATAGTGCCGCTCTCTCCGGGCCTCCATGTTCTCCCTTGTCGATCTACACATGGTGTTACCACTGATGTCATACCGCGACGTCACTGTCATGAAGCACACTGTAGAGAGATCCAGGCATATTCAGAAGAACCAAATTTGCCAATTGCCAATTGGGTTTGTGTCACTAAAGTCCAAAAATAAATGGTTTTATCAACAGCGACGTGACTTGCCTCAGATGGTAAATAAGGGGTTTATTGTTGATTAGTTTAGGATTTTTGTCATCTTTGTAAGGACCTTGAATTACAAAATTGACCTAATTAAATTGTCAATAGACATCTGATCTTCATTTACCATTTTTAAATGCATTTAGCAGACACTTTTATTCAAAGCGACCGGGGGAACGTATCGACTTCAGTTCGAGTTCGGCATTTAATTCCATAAGCCCCAGCCATCTGATCTGTTAGTCAGGACTTCTTGGCTAGTTAGTCAGGACTTCCTGACTAACAGACCCCAGCATCTCAGGATGGGCACCTTCACATCCTCCACTATCATCCTCAACACTGGTGTTCCCCAGGGCTGTGTCCTGAGTCCAGTCCTGTACGCACTGTACACCCACGACTGTGTCGCCACCTATGGATCCAACACCCTCAACCAATATGCTGACGACGCAACCATTGTTGGACTGATCAGCAATGATGAGGAGACACCATACAGGGAGGAAGGGCCAAAAACATTATAATAGATGGGGCCTTTGGTTTACAACAGCGGTTCTCAATTATTTTCTGTCATGCTCCCCCTTGGGGATAGACATGTTTTTACCTCCCCCATCTCCCCTCCGACCCACACCCCTGCGAATTGAAATACTACTGAAATACTCGTTTTACTGATTCGGATCTTCGACTCTCGAACAGTAAAACGAACCAAAAGCTGCTACCCTACTGGTGTAGTCCGGTCACGTGTCGACTGTGTCACCTCTCACGCCTGAGAATCCACTGTAGAGGCTTATATGCAACACTGCCATCAAAACCTATTCTTATCATAGAAAATGACATTTTAATAGCTGTCCACTGTAGTGACCGTCATGCATGAAAGGGTTAATTATGTATATATAATGTTTTTTTTAACTTAGATGTGGCAGGTCAGTAGAAGTGTGTTTATTGAAACAAATCCCGCTGCCTGGCCTTACTGTGAAATATTTCAAATTCAATTTTTGTGTAAATTATTTCTTGCTAGACCATAATTTGTTTTTTGTTTTTTGTTTCTTGATTGCAGTTGAAAAGTGAATCATTAATGTTATTTTATGTCATGTAAGGAAATCAATGTTACCTCAATACAGTATACATATAAGCCATTCTCTCGTTGGCATTGCTGGTAATGTGTTTTCTGACTCCGTACGTCCGTTAGTCATGTAAATGTCGTGTAAATGTGTTACTGTGCTCCAGGATGATTGATGATGTTGTAAAGTTGATAAGCTATTACACAGTTATGGCCTGAAGTATCACCTGTCAAAGATCCAGTGCTGCAATCAGCTTTGTTTAATTTAGTACAAGCGATCAAACCAGATTAACACAAATTAGCTGTTTATTCTTTATTTCTCGACTACTTACAAAAACTATTTTTCTCTATCTATTTATGTTAGATTGCAACAATATTTTCTTTTGGAGACAATTGTAATCTAGTGTATCTTTCTTTATTCAAATATATTTTGATCATTTTTTTTTGTTTGTTTGTTTGTTTTTTTTTTTTTTTGTCAATTGATAAAGCGCAAGATTTAATTTCTAATGATTCCTTGTTATGTATTCATTATGTTGATACATACTGGGACCCAAGATCAAAGATGACAATTATTTCTATTATTATTTATTATTTAACTGCCTATCATTTTGGTGTTACTCAGGTCCTTTCGGCCTCCGTTGTTGTTGCCTGAGACTCCCAGAAACAGAAGAAATTTTTTGTCTGCCAATTTTGTTGGTCTTTTTTAAAAAACAAAAATCAATATATTTTGTGGATTCATTTAGAAATATCAATTTCCTTTGTGTTTGCTTCTTTTTTGGTACCAGAATAACGAAATAAACACGTTTTGTTTTTTTTAAAGTTGATAGTGTCATTGATAAAAAATAGTTCAAAATGTTATCTCTCTCAATCCTGCTCTCAGTGCCAGGTCTAAGATAAAGGCGAGAAAACGTCAGGCAACTTTTAGCCTTTTAGTTTCTACACAAACATGTTGATGAACTGTTTCCATATTATCCCCCTATAGACATCTGTGGTGACATTGCCATAGTCCAGATAGTATCAAATTCACCAAACTTAATATTAAAAAAAAGAAAAAATGTTCATGTTTTCCCTTCTCTCCAAAAATGTAATGTTTTTTTTCATATGGAAACAAACTTCAGTGTTGCTTAAACATAGAATCCGGAACGACCCAAGCTTAATATTATTAACACATGAGAAATTAAATTTGAAATAAGGTATTTGTTTGTTATTATGTCTCTCTTTATCTTGCTATAATATCATGCATACATTGCTAATGCTACAAATCCCGCCGGTATATAGTGGCTATGTAATGGTGAGCCAGCTCTAATACATATTTGACATGAACTCGTGGGCCAAAATATAACTACAGCAATCTATTTATCTATCTGTCTGTCTGTCTGTCTGTCTATCTATCTATCTGTCTGTCTATCTATCTATCTATCCATCCATCCATCCATGCATCTATCTATCTATCTGTCTATATTTGGGAGAAATGTGTATCCCTGCCTGTATTAACTGAAAGGTTCATATCAGAGTCAATGCCTTGGTTTCAGTAGATTTCCATGTTGTACAGCTGGAATGGGAAATGTTTGTTTAGTATTAACCAAAGTTGAAAAATAAAAAGGTCAAGCATTATTTGTACATAGGCAACTGTAGAAGCCCGGGGTTCTTAAGAAAAAAGAGTCTGCTTTGAGTATAAAGCAGATCATTGTAAATATAGTAAATACCTGCGTGTAAAGGACAGATACAGATCATGGAGTGTGTCCCACTGGTCATACTTTTATTGGACACATGTACCGCACCGCATGTATAAACAGACTCAAGAGATTCTATGACGGAATTGTGACAGATCATATCAAGTTATGTTAGTTAAAGTTAGTAAATCATGTTTGACTTCAAAGATTGCAATTTCTTGACATGACCAGGAAAAACAACAAATTGTGACATTGGCCAGGTTATGCAAATACAGGGGTCCCTCTCTATATCCCGGTTTTCCTTTTGCTCCCTCAGTACATCGCAGATTCTTTTTTATTCCAATCTCACGAGAGTTTCACTATATCGCGGCATATTACTGTAATGTTTTTTTTAATTTAGAATATTTTTATTATTTTGTGATATGTTACTCCAATACGTAAATTATGTGATAACTATCTCGCCTCTACTTTGTGGAATTTTCCCTTTTTTTGCGATAGGTCTTGGAACATAACTACCACGAGATGAGACTAATGTAATTGCAAAGTGTTCCTCCAAACCAAATCAACGTATACATGATGATAAAGCCCATATACAGGAACTATTCTTGTAAATATCTTCACCCTAGAAACATCCAGAATTTGAGTAACCAAAAAGTTCACAATCAATGCATTCTGTTTTCATTCCTTCTTCTCTTTTGTCTTTTAAACAGGGCTGGATTCCAAATGGTGTTGCCTTCCATGTGCAGTTCACTACAGCTCTCAATGACTCTTTCATTGCTCCAGCTCAAGCATCCTTGGCCACTTGATTTGACTCTACTGGACACTGCCTACCTAACGCATAACTTCTCGCCCCTGAACTTCTCTTCAACTCCCCCTGAGTTACCCCTTTTGAAGTGTCTGTACACATCATATGAACAATCACCCGTCCTAAGTTCAACATGGTGACTGAAGTTCCTGCTCTAATCCTGATATTGATGTCTCGGGATATCTTGCTGGCTGCTGGAGACTCACCTCAGTCTCGCTGGGAGGTCCGCATTGAGGGGGACCTGGTCCTTGGTGGGTTGTTTCCCGTGCATGAGAAAGGTTCTGGAGTGGAGGAGTGCGGTCGTGTAAACGAAGACAGAGGAATACAGAGGCTGGAGGCTATGTTATTTGCCATTGACAGGATCAACATGGACAACACTTTACTGCCTGGAATCTCACTTGGGGTCCACATTTTGGACACCTGCTCCAGAGACACATACGCACTGGAGCAGGTGTGTGGCAATTGTCAATTAATCTAAATGCTGCTGATCATTAGTCAAGCATTATGACTGTGTTTAGCCATGCTACGTTTGCCTAAATCAGGGGTCACCAACATAGTAGCCCTCGTGGACTAATTAAGATGTCCGTGGTGTATGTTGTAAGAAGAGTGTCTACTAGTGTATGTCACAGAACTATTTAGTATTACATTGTTCAGAAAAGTCTGTATTAAACAAGTAGCTCTTCGTAGATCACCCTTTCAAAAACATTGGTGACCTCTGGTCTAAATGTTGTGTTAGCATATTATCCTTGATTATCAGCAAGTTACACTAAACAAAAAAAAAAAGAAATCAACTAAAAAAATCAGTTGTTGCATCTCTCGTCCATTTTTTAATATATTTGATGTACCATTTTACAGGCTTTGGAGTTCGTAAGGGCCTCACTTGCGAAGGTGGACAACTCAGAGTTCATCTGTCCAGATGGATCATATGCTTTGCAGGAAGAAAGCCCACTTGCAATTGCTGGAGTCATAGGAGGATCCTTTAGCAGTGTCTCAATACAGGTAACAGACATATAGAAATATAACATTCCTCATTTATTGTAAGAAGATGGAAATCAGCAATCAAAACACAAATTTGATTGCTGATCAAATCAGATCAGTTAATATGACAGTTGGTATTTAAACAGTGACAACTCTGCATGGGCAATATAAAAACAAGATGCTAGTGCCATAGTGTAATGTGGATGTGAGAAGATGCTAGTTTACTAGCAGTAATAGAGACTTTGTGTTGCTGTACATAGCTATTGAGACAAGTGACTAAGGGACAAGTGGACTACCAAAGGGCTTGAGCAATGAAACATAAAAAGGACAATCTTCAAAGAAGGAGATGGACAGAGGTTGGACAATCTAATCAATGACATAGAAACCAATATAACAAAGTGCAAACTTACTGGGAGGGGTATGTCCATGGAAAACAACAAAACTCTTCGTCCAGGTCCGTATAATGGAGCAGAGAGCTGGGTTTGGGCAGAAGGACCATTCTCTGTGACAACAGCAAATGTTGGCCTGCATAGATGGCACGCCACATCGGCTACCTCAGCTGGGAACAGAGGGGGGTTGATATACTTCTTAGCATGAAAACAAAAGGGGAATAACATGGACTTTGTTAACATTGTTATTTATAGATAATAATGTTATAATTGTATCGATCTAGCCCAATTGATATCAAATCAGGGTGTATGTGGCCACTGAATCACCAGACATCTCTAATGTAGACGGAACACGTATCATGAGATCCATAGCTTTCGAGGCAGAAGAAAGCTTTGGGTGACAAACCAGTATAGGGTTGAAAGATTCTTGCTATATTTCGATCTGGGTCAGTATTCAAAAAAATCTCGTACAACAGTTGTTGTATACGCAAATCCAGGAACTAAAACTTTCCAGAATAACTTCCAAGAATAATATCCATGTATCATTAATTTTTTCGATTATATACCTGTGTGGGGGGAGTGCCATTATACAACTCAACTGTGCATATAATTGTGTGGGAAAGATAGAATACAGTCTAGGGAGGGTTGATAACAGTGTGGAGGGTTATAAAGGGTAAAAATATTTGTAAATAATATAATAACTATCTCGCCTCTACTTTGCAATTTTTCCCATTTCGTGGTGGGTCTTGGAAAGCAACTACTGCGATAGGAGAGGGATTACTGTATTTATACACTCATATATCAACATTTTTGATCTCCTCCATCAGGTTGCCAATCTCCTTCGGCTGTTCCAGATCCCTCAGATAAGCTACGCATCTACAAGTGCCAAGCTAAGTGACAAAACACGCTATGATTACTTCGCCCGAACCGTGCCCCCAGATTTCTATCAGGCCAAAGCCATGGCAGAGATTCTTCGTTTCTTCAACTGGACATACGTGTCCACTGTGGCATCAGAAGGTGATTATGGTGAAACTGGCATAGAAGCCTTTGAGCAAGAGGCTCGGATGAGGAACATTTGCATTGCAACTTCAGAGAAGGTAAGCCATTCTCTAAAGTAACAGCCTTTATACATAACCGATCTGGTTTTACACACACGAATATGCTGTATGTTCTTATCAGTTTCATAAAGAAGACAAAGACAAAATATGCTGGACGCAAGAACATTATGTGAAGTAAAAGAAAGAGTTCACATATGCAAACAAAGACAAAATATGCTGGACGCAAGAAGATTATGTGAAGTAAAAGAAAGAGTTATCCTAACTGTCAATACCTGGAAAGGGAGCACCAGTTTAAAGAAAGTAAAGCCATAAGTTCAGAAGTGTAATTTCTATATCTTTGAGAGAATTTTAGAAAAGTCGTCATATGGCATGTTCCTTAGGAAAACGTCATATGAAATGAAGCATTACAGCCAAACAAGAAGGAGTCTTCTATTCCATTCCAAAAGTCCTCTATGATTAGATCACAATACCATAATTGTGTGGTGTCTATTTTTAAAAAGAATATCGCTAAGATGATATGACTTGCAATTATTAAACCAAGGTTTACACTGCATTATTTCAGTGTTGCATTGTCATTGTTTTTGTCTATACAATTTCATGATCTAAATTGTGAGCTATTGGCTTTACCAGACTAAAGGTGTTCATATTTAGAGAAAGTCTATTATCAGTCTCTTCTTACATCAAAAGCATCATTGGTTATCAATTAAAACCCTTTGCTATGTGAATAAATCTCAATATGGTAGACATCATTGGTTATCAATTAAAACCCTTTCCTATGTGAACAAATCTCAATATGGTAGAATTGGCATTCACACAGCACTGATTTTATATGCAGGTGGGACGATCCAACGCTAAGAAGTCCTACGAAGCTGTGATTCGTCAGCTACTACAGAAGCCAAATGCCCGTGTAGCTGTCCTCTTCCTTCGTAGTGATGACGCAAGAGAGCTGCTCTCAGCTGCTGCCCGCCTGAACACCTCTTTCATTTGGGTGGCCAGTGATGGCTGGGGCGCACAGGAAAGCATTGTTAGGGGAAATGAAGTCGCTGCTGAAGGGGCCATTACACTTGAATTGGCAGCAAATCCCCTGCCTGAGTTCAACCGCTACTTCCTTAACTTGAACCCCATCAATAACGTTCGCAATCCCTGGTACAGGGAATTCTGGGAGCAGCGGTTCCAGTGCTCTTTGGGAGGAGGTGGAAGTACTGCACAAGGGGAGAGGCCTATCCGCCCACCATGCGACAAGAACTTGTCCATGAACAAGAACAACTTTGAACCGGAGTCGAAAATCATGTTTGTGGTGAACGCAGTGTACGCTATGGCCCGGGCTCTTCATAACATGCAACAGACCATCTGCTCAAACACTAACAAGCTGTGTGACAGCATGAAGACGTTGGATGGACGCAGACTCTACAAGGACTACATCCTCAACGTCACCTTCACAGGTATGTCCGGCATCTAAATTCATTTTAATACTACTGCTGTGAGTAAGGTCACCAAACCAAGTCTTAGTTTTACTGTAGTTTGGAGTGGTTTGACATGCAGTGACCAACATATGCCCTTTGTTCAAGGGAATCTCACAGATACCAACCATCAATACATCTTGGGTTGATTTGGTTACAATATGAACATATAGAACATTTACTTCATTCATTTTACTTTTTCAAAGAACATCCGAGCTCTTAGAATATTAGTTATGAAACGTTCATGTTTGATTGTATTACCTTACTCAAATATATTTTTTTGGCATCCAGTGTCTATCATACTCAACTTTGTTTTTTTTTTGTTTTTGTTTTTTTGTTTAGTCTTTTTTTAGGTTTTTTAATAATCAATTTATGTTGTTGTGCTTTAAATGTTGTGGTTTACCTTGAAATTTGCCACAGTCTCATTTGGCCATAAAAAGAAATACATTTAAACAGTATTTCAGTTGTTTTCCTGGCTCCATCTGACATAATCCAGAACAGCATTTGAAGAGCCTTTTTTAAAGATCATTAGGTTGGATAACCCAACAGTGCATATCTCCAATTTCAATCTGCAATAGGGGGGCAAGCATGTGTGTTCCTCAGTCGATGGGATACGATAACATTTCTGGCAAGCATCTTTTGAACAGTGCTCTGAGACATTAAAAAAAAAAAAACACAAAAAAGTCATTGTATCGCACCGTTGTGGTGAAGAAGGAAATGAGCCGAAAGGCAAAGCTCTTGATACTTGAGACTTTTCTACCCTCGCCTATAGACATGAACTTTGGTCATGACTGAAATACAAGATGCTGCATACAGGTGTCCAGAATGATCTTCCTCTGCAGGGTGGCAGGGCACTACCTCAGAGATAGGGTGAGGAGCTCTGTCACCTAAGAGGAGTCAGCTAAGGTGGCTGGGGCAAGAGAGTGCCTAAAATAATAATAATAATAGGTGGGCTATTCCTTTCTGACTTGTCACATGTGACTATCAGTTGATAGTGTTTCGGTTTTGGGTTTTTGGCCTTTGGTTTCCTCATTTTCGGTTACTGTGCATCAATACCGAAAACCGAAACACTGAGAGAAATTATTATGTTAATTGTTAGTACCGTTACATTTATGGCTATGACTGCACTAAACCGCAATAATATCAAGGCACTGCAATTACTTAGAGTAATAATAAATGAATAATTGTCAAAATAATGAATTAATAATAAATTAATCAACTGATAGTCACATAGGAAGTCAGAACTATTATAGCCTAACTATTATTATTATTATTTGAGTCATTCTCTTGCAGGATCTCACAGAACAGCAGACTACGAGGGTGCCTACCCCTCATCTGGCACACTGCGCTGTGAGATTCTCCATCCCCAACGGGGAGGTTAAATCTGCGTTAAATCAACCTGGGATCGTGGCACAGGTTTGGCTGTAAATACATGACAGATTAATTCAGGCAATCCAAGAATTTAAGTTTTTCTTAAATGTAAAAAGCCAGGGAACCACAGTCTGTCCAGCCGACAGCTTAAAGACTTCAACCATATAAATATATTTCTAAACAGTTTACAATGAACAATTTAAAACGCTGTGACCCCTGCAGGTTAAAACAGGGTAAAAAAAAGTCAAAGTGGACAAGGTAGACTTTGCAAAGCAAAACACTGATAAAAAAAAATCACTAAAAACACTGTTTTATTTGTAAACAAACAGGTGAAATGTCCAATCAATTAGAGCCAAATTCAATTGCATCAATAATTTGAGTAAAACTGAATTATTTTTGGAAAATGAGGAAATTTGTCCATCGCAGCCCGGATCATTTGATCGATCAATGATCTTTATAACGCGACGAACGCAGGGGATCCGAATAGATATCAATAAAACGTACAGACTCTATGAACGTACATTTCACCCCCTCTTGAAATGACAGAATTACACATTTGCAACTCGCTGTCCGTGGGTCTTTCTCATATATTGAATTACGTTCACAGCACAGAAATGTTGGCTTTCAGACAAGCCCACACTGGCCGTGGTTTTTGCTTGCGTCATCATAACTTCGGTGATAAAAGTCTTTCCGAAAGACTTTAGGGACATTTCAGGCCAAGAATTTTTGGAGGGTTTGAAAATTCGGTGCATCCCTAGTGACTATGTATCATATGCACTGCTGCAATTGTTACAAAAGCTCTTCAAACTTCTTGTTCTATCTAAGATGTACACGCCGCAAGAGCCAGTCTTAAGGCATATCTCGGTACATCTTGGTGATGACAACACATTTTAAAAGTGATATATTATCTGACTTTTATGCAAATGATTGATTCCTGGAATGTGTCAATGAAATGTTAGTGAAGCACATTGGTAGAACAAGCTAGAGGCTTGAGACCAGATGGATTCTTTACACACCTTTCAATGGGCCTGTGCTCTGAACAGCTGGTTTCTCTACATTCACATCATATGGTAATGAGCCACTACAAGCCCGAAGATGGCTGTAACCACAGCAATGGTTGAACAGTGAGAGGGATTTGCTGGCGGACAACAAACTGCAGTCCAAGTGCATACTATGTATTTGATCCAGATCAGACCCAGAACAAAAAGATGCAGCGAAGAAAGTTAATTAATAATTAACCTGAATGACTCACAAGCCTTGACAGGGATTCTTTCAGCTCCCAAGATCCCAAGCAGATGCTGTAAAATCTACATAGCATCTCTGTCACAGATATGGAGAGAACCCAATAGCAGCACAAGCAGGTCAGGTTTAAACCTATGGAAGCTAACAGGCTCACTTCAGCTAGCACAGATTGATGAGTGGTTAAGGGAATTCCAAGGGCTTTCCAAAGTGAGTAGCTACTGTGTGGGTTCTCAGTCATCTAAAGCAGCAACCTTTTTTGAGCCAAGGCACATACACTATATGACCAAAAGTATTCGCTCACCTGCCTTGACTCATACTATGAACTGAAGTGCCATTCCATTCCTAACCCAGAGTTCAATATGATGTCGGTCCCCCTTTTGCAGCTATTACAGCTTCAACTCTTCTGAGAAGACTGTCCACAAGGTTGAGGAGAGTGTTTAGAGGAATTTTTGACCATTCTTCCAAAAGCGCATTGGTGAGGTCACACACTGATGTTGGTCGAGAAGGTCTGGCTCTCAGTCTCCGCTCTAATTCATCCCAAAGGTGTTCTATCGGGTTCAGGTCAGGCCAGTCAAGTTCATCCACACCAGACTCTGTCATCCATGTCTTTATGGACCTTGCTTTGTGCACTGGTGCGCAGTCATGTTGGAAGAGGAAGGGGCCTGCTCCAAACTGTTCCCACAAGGTTGGGAACAGTAGAGAGTCCTGCAATGGCCAGGTCAAGCCCCGGATCTCAATCCCATTGAGATGCTGTGGGATGACTTGAAACTTTTTTTTTTGTAAAAATTGTATTGAGATGCTGTGGGGTGACTTGAAACTTTTTTTTGTAAAAATTGCTATTAAATCACTTTTGTTTTCCAGAAATAAATAAAAATAAGATTGGACATTGATATGTGAACATTTCCTATTAATTAACCCTTTCATGCATGACGATCACTACAGTGGACAGCTATTAAAATGTCATTTTCTATGATAAGAATAGGTTTTGATGGCAGTGTTGCATATAAGCCTCTACAGTGGACGCCTGAGAATCACCCATTTACATAACGCTGTCCGACATTTTACAAGAGGTAGCACAAAAGGCTTGCTTTTCTGGGTTTTTTTTTTTTTTTTCTTACCAAGATGAAATCGCAGACTGTACCCCCAACCCACACTCTTCTCAAAGCCGTCATTTCACTCCCACCACCCACTTCACTGATGTTCAGCAAACAGATCATATACACACACGTATTTGCACTCTTCTATTCAAATACCAAAGATGGATGTGATAACCCGTCTTCTTTGTGCTGTGTGTGTGCTTGTGTGTGCGTAGCCAAGGTAGTGTGCCTTCAGGGCCACATTGAGCAGCGAGCTTACTGCTACATTTAGACGCTGCAACCATCACACAGCCTTCACTTCTCTCCTTCTTTTATTCCTCTCCCTCCCGTTTTTTACTCCCACCCTCTATTTACTGTTTGGTCACTTACTTTCATACTTTCTCCTCCTGTGTCCTTTCACACTTTGGGACCCTTGAAAATGCCTTTGTCTGACAAAGAAGCACATCCCACTCAGACATCATAAGGTTTGTCTTTTGCTTTCCTTTCCTCCCCCACCCCGCCATAGCTATCCAGCCATCTGTCCATCACCTGTTCTCTATTGATTTCACTATCTAGAAGGATTTTCTCCATCTAACCATATCTCTCCTCCTTGTGCTCTTGCTTTTCTTGCTTTTATGCTGGCCCCTTCTTTTTTTTTCAAGTACTCTTCTCTCTTGTCACTTCCCCTCCTTTTTTTGCCCTTATCTTGCCTCGCAGCACATCCTCCCTAGAACTTCCCAGTTTGGGCCATTTCCTCCTTTTGTGTCACCATTCTTTACCCTTTCTTTCAGTCAATCTTAAGAACCACCCACATGCCACCTACGTGTTTACGTTCCTTGCAGATTCTTTCTTTCTCTCTGTGCGTTGTCACATGATATGTCCTGGAGTGTGTTTCAGTGTGTCCCTTTGCACTAAGTATCAAAAAGATATTGCATATTACGAAAGAATGCCATAGATTAAGAATGGTGTGCTTTATGTGGCTGTATCTTAATAGTCATAGTTATAGTAAGCAGAGGTGTGGACTCGAGTCACATGACTTGAACTCGAGTCAGACTCGAGTCATCAATTTGATGACTTTAGACTCGACTTGACAAAATGTCAAGAGACCTGCAGCTCGACTTGGACTTTAACATCAATGACTCGTGACTTCACTTGGACTCGAGCCCTTTGACTCGACAAGACTTGATACTTTCTCCAAAACCCAAAGTGATCTGTGTAAATATATTATTATTTTGTTTAAAAGGACTCGAAACGGAAACGTAAGGACTTGGGACATGACTTGACACTTTTTAGTCTTGACTTGGACTCGACTCGGACTTTGCCTGTCTTGACTTGAGACTTGACTCGGACTTGAGTGCAAAGACTTGAGACTTACTTATGACTTGCAAAGCAAGGACTTGGTGCCACCTCTGATAGTAAGTAATATAAATAACAAATAAAAGAAAATATTAATTCCCACTAATTCTATGGCTGCCTCATGTTTTCATCTCCCCCCCTTTCTTTAGATTAGATATTTCCTCATTCCCCTTGTTTCCACCCTTTCTTGCTTTTAATATCCACAACACTTAAGTACTGTAGTGAACATTATTTACTTCTCTGTCTGAAAAAAAAATTTAATAATAATATTTAAAATGTCTTTAAAATTAAGATTCTCAATTTGCTCTTTTTGTTGTTGTTTATTTTCAAGTCACTTAACTCTAAATCTGCATTGAGAATAGCAATCTCTGTTTAGAATTTTGTTATTGGGGTATTTTATTTTCAAATATTATATATATATATATTTTTATTTTTATTTTTTTTTCAAAACTGCTGCTGGCTAGTCAAATAAATGTTTTCAATATGTGCAAAGCCACTTGTTTTTTTAGTTAGTTATTTTTGTTTGTTTGTTTTTTTCATTTATGGCATCAAATAGCTTATTTTGATGTAATGGTTGTTGGGGCAGTGGTGGCTTAGTGATTAAGAAAGCGGACTTGGGTCTGGAAGGCTTCAGGCTCGAGTCCACACGCAAGTTACCACTGAGGTGCTCTGAACATGGTGAACAACAACTTTTTCTTTCCTTCATTGAATTTAATAAAATAGGAAATAGCCAGCGATGTCCTTCACAGTAGTGGTAAGCTCACATTAAATCAGCAGCCGTTCCTGCCTTTGTAATTCACACACAATATATATTTCTTTACTCTTTCTTTTTGATTCACTTGTTTAACTGTCAAAGGTGATGGGACTAATTTTTTTTTTTTTTGATAATTCCTACCTATATCCTTCTTACTGACTAACCCAGGCGTGGGTAAACCTTTTGACTTGCGGGCCACAACTGCGCTAAATTTGTACGGGAGCCGTGTCAGGAGCAGATAATATGGAGCATTTGTGTGAACTAAGATAAATGACATGCAAAGTCATGCATAAAGGCTAAAATGCTAAAATGCTTTCAATATTTTCTATGCCATCTTTTGGGGAAACATGAATATAAATAAATAATACTCTTGGAAAAGTAATCAAATCAAAGAATAATAACACGTTTTGGGTGGGGTTTTTTTTTCTACATGTATATGCGGGGTAAGTGTGGATGGAGGAGACAAGGTTATAGGTGGGTTACACATTGAAGACCACTGTTTAATCTTTTTTGAATCCTAATTCAAACAGTTCACAATGTTTGAGTACTGACATCTAATTGTTATTCACATTTGCCTAGTTAAACTAAGTTTATGTTTTTGTTCTTTTTCCCTCTTAAATATCCATGTAATTTGACTCAAATTGAATTCACCCTGAGGCTTACTTCCTGAACTAACCGTAATTGATTTGATCAGCATAATAATCAATTAGTATTCAGGAATTTTTAAGACGTAGATTTAATTATAATGCTAAGGTTCCCTTACCCAAGAACCAAGGAGTGCTGATATTTTTAAATATTGCATGTCTTACCTAGGTATAGCTGATTAAAGCTATCTAACATTAAATTGCCCACGTCTCCTAAGTGCAGTCAGTTTAACTATTTACCAGCCACTTTTACTACACTTAGCACCGCTAAGGAGCAAGTTTCGATTGTCTTGATCTATCTAGCTTACCGAATCACTACTGTCGTATTTTCTGGACTATAAGTAGAACTTTGAAGTATAAGTCGCACCGGCCAAATAATGCATAATGAAGAAGAAAAAACATATATAAGTCGCTCTGGAGTATAAATCACACCAGCGCCCTCTAGCGGGTGTCAGTGTAAAAATAACGTGGTACAGGAATAGCAGACACTGGTACACAAGCCTAGAGTGCCCTCTAGTGGCTTTTTTGGTTTGGAAGCGACTATTCAAATGACCAGTAGACCTAAGGGATCTACCTACATTTAAAACATTAACTGTATATTCACTTGTGTAAACTGAACATACTTTATATGTGTATACATTATATTGTTTAACTGTATGGAACAATAGTATTCAACCTACAATATATGGTCTCTACTACACACTATCTACTATCTACTTATTGGGCATCCATGGTATGTTGCATAGTTAAAACCCTACAGTACATTGCTGGACACATGTTGTCCTCTGAAACAAAATGCACAACATGTCCATGCATATGCTAGCCTGTCTCAGCTCTCAGTCACCACAAGAATCAGTTCAGAAGTGTTTACTCACACACTTAATAGATCATTTATTCTGTCATGTCAGCAAGGTCGCTAACATCTACAAAGGAAAGGAATGGCTGACATTTTTGTTACTGAAGAGAAGTCGAGAATGACAAGCCTAAACTGGTCTGTAGTAGTACGTAATATATATATTATGTATATGAGACTCACAGTACTTTTCAGACTTTAAGCTGCTGTTTTTTTTCAACACGCTTTGACACCTGCGGTGTGGGACGCACATGTACACACACAGAGAACGGTATCAAAAGTTGAAAGTAGTTTGAGTCCTGTCATGTTGAAGCGTGAGTTAATCATACAGGAGCTGTTAAAACACTTTATGTACTTTTGTGCTCGGTGTGGCTGATAATCAAGACCCCAACATCCCTGTTTCTGTTTAACTGTGCTAGACAAGCACAAAGTGAAGGGAGTTAGCCCCAGAGCTAATGTTAGTTTCGGCCCTGGAGCACATCACTAAGTCTTTCCTGTGTATTCCAACTACGGTCGGGGCGCCAAAGCAGGAAAGAGCTAACATGTAACCAGCCGTGTTACAGGCACTCTTTGGAGAAAAAGCATTTATTTAATTAACAGTGAAAAAATATATTCTGCTGCGCTCAATAGTCCAGAAATTAGAAATGAAAATAAGGACCTGATGACATTCAAAACTCGTGAATCACACAGTGTAAAAGAGTGTTTGCTCTGGAACTGTTACATTTTAGGAACCAAAGCATCCTCCATTTTCATTTGGTAGGCCATTCCTCTTTCAGCATTCCCCACTTTCACAGCACAATTGCATCTGTGGCTCGTTGGGTTGCACGCACAAGTATATGTAGCATTGCTAACAGCCACAACAGCGCTTTGAGAAACAGCTAACACATTGTTCCAAGCTACTAAACTATATCCTGATCAAAAAGAGGTTTTAGATAATCTGTATTCTGAGAGTTCTTCATTGACAATGTTACACAAAAATGTAATTGTAAAACCACGAAGATCCTTTCGAAGTCCACAATTTCTCTCGCCATTTGTTTTATTCATTTTTTTAGATCATTGCTTCTCAATTGAATTTCTGTCGCGGCCGCCACTTGTGTTTACTCACACCCCCCCATACCCACCCCTGCAAATTGAAGTACTATTGAGAACCTGATAACACATATATATTTTTATCTTTTTCCAAACCAATGCATGAGTTGCTGCCACCTAGTGACTGGAGGCTTGTTATCATTCAAGCATCACAGCAGTGTGTGAGATTGTGAGATGGGAGATGCTACCTGTTGTGCTAAATCTCAAATCTTTTACGTCACTACACCAGGTATGCACGTATATCCTGATCAAAAAGAGGTTTTAGATCATCTGTATTCATTGAGTTCTTCATTGACAATGTTACACAAAAATGTAATTGTAAAACCACGAAGATCCTTTCGAAGTCCACAATTTCTCTCGCCATTTGTTTTATTCATTTTTTTAGATCATTGCTTCTCAATTGAATTTCTGTCATGGCCGCCACTTGTGTTTACTCACACCCCCCCATACCCACCCCTGCAAATTGAAGTACTATTGAGAACCTGATAACACATATATATTTTTATCTTTTTCCAAACCAATGCATGAGTTGCTGCCACCTAGTGACTGGAGGCTTGTTATCATTCAAGCATCACAGCAGTGTGTGAGATTTGTGAGATGGGAGATGCTACCTGTTGTGCTAAATCTCAAATCTTTTATGTCACTACACCAGGTATGCACGTACATACATACGTATGACAGCAATTCCTCATCACTGAACACATACTGTACTACTAAATTTCGGGAAGCCTGTTGTGATTCCGAGTCTTTGTTAAACAAATACGTCGTTAAGTGAGGACCGGCTGTACATCATTGCGTGTGTTGGTACACCACCCCCTGCCCCCCAGAATACAGCCATAAGTGAGGACCGGCTGTACATCATTGCATGTGTTGGTAAACCCCCCCGCCGGTCAGCCATCATGCTTTGACTCTAGGAAGAGTTTCCTAATAATACATTTGGTAATTAACTTAGTCAGGTCATTAGAGCAATTTCTAACCCAATGTGACCTCCAGGAGAGCAGAGTAGAGGGGCCAGCGACACACACAGGCCCCACTGAGCATATCAAGTATTTATTGCCTATTAGGCAATACTTCTGTGTCTGGCTAGTCTACAGTAATGAAAAGAGCATTGTGATGGAATTCACTCTTTTCGGACTCCTAAGGCCTAACTGACCGAGGCCTATTGTCTCGGTGCTAAAGAGGCATTTGTGAGAAGGTTTGTTTTGATTGTTTGGCTTTAATCTCATTTTCCACCCTTCCTTATCTCTCTTTCTCCTCACCTCCAGCTCCTTTCTCTCCCCCTGGTAGTGAGACCATAGTCAAGTTCGATTCCCAGGGGGACGGCGTGGGTCGATACAATATCTTCAGCTACCAGCGCTCTGGCGATCGTTATGGATACGTGCCAGTGGGTGAATGGGCCGAGACTCTAAGTTTATACGGCGATCTGATTCACTGGCCTAGAGAAGTGGTGCCCACATCGCAGTGCAGTGACCCCTGTGAGCGTAATGAGATGAAGAAAATGCAGGCAGGTAAGGAATTGAGTTACACATGATCTTTGCCATAGCAACACACGAAGCGCTAATATCTCTTCAAAAAGGTCACACTCTTGCTGCCAATATTGTGATATCTCAGGTGAATACTGCTGCTGGATCTGTACAGCCTGTGAGCCTCATGAATACCTGCTTGATGAGTTTACGTGCTTCCCATGCGCTCCTGGCCAGTGGCCTACTGATGACCTCACATCCTGTTATGACCTTCCTGAGGACTATATCATGTGGGAAGATGTCTGGGCTATCGGTCCCATTACAGTTGCCTGTGTAGGGTGAGTGATGGGTGAATGTGTTGTCAATGTTGGATAACAGCCCCATATCATGGTCACTGTGATGTGATTTTGTTCTTGAGCCATTCAAATACTATTTGTGTCACAAAACACAAAGAGTTTTGTGATTAGCCCCTTCCTCTTCTTCCTGTTTTGGCTCTTCCCATCAAGGGGTCGGCGCAGCGGATGGTCTGCTTCCATCTCACCCTATCCCCTGCCTATCCTCTGTTTTGACACCAACCATCTCCATGTTGTCCTGTTTCACAACATCCATATCTATCCATCCTAGGTATTTAAACTCATTCACCTCCACAACCTCTACTCCTTTCAAAATGATCTTTCTTTCAAAAATTTTTAATCTTCCTTTTCAGTTTTCGACTTTTAATCTTCACCTCTGCCTTTACTTGCTTTCACTTCCTTGTGTCCACCTTTAGCCTACACACGACCATCCTGTGCTGCTTTGCTACACTACACAAGTAGCACTACTTTACAGTCTCCTCCTTTACGTGATTTAATCTATTGTATTTTCCGGACTATAAGTCACTCTCTTTTTCATGCCTTGGCTGGCATCTATTGTATTTTCCGGACTATAAGTCTCTCTCTTTTTCATCCCTTGGCTGGCTTTGCGACGTATATTTTAAAATATATAATTTCACATCCGTTATTTCCATACTGACCGCCTCTAGAGGGCACTCTAGGCTTGTGTACCTGTATCTGCTACTCCTGTACTACTGAACATTTACATGTTCGTTTGAGGACCCTCGCACTTATATTCCAGAGCTGTGTGTACCTTCCTGTGTGCCCTCTAGTGGCTGCCAGTGCAAAAATAACAAACGTGAAATTATACATTGTAATATATAAGTCGCACAGGAGTATAAGCTGCAAACCCAGCCAAACAATGAAAAAAAAAAAAAACATTCACCTGTGATTCCAAATCAAAGCTGTCATATTTACACTCGTGTGTCTTAAAAATGTGCCATGTGATATCAATCAAAGTTATCATGTGACAATATATGTAGTGTTTGGTGGGTATGTTAAATGTTAAACATCATTGTCAACCACAGCCCTTGGTATAGAAGTTGGCATACTATAACATTATTATTATTATAGTTAACTGTGAGCATTTGAAGATTGCATGTGTATATTTAGTGTGTTTACTGTAATTATCACCGGAAACACTCACTAGTGACATCACGCTTGGCAGCGACTGTCATCTACAGCATGGTTTGTATGTTAAATGTTATGTCGTCAAATGGTATGAAATCCCTCTCTGCACTGCTGCATAACCCTTATTGCTGTCTTTAGGTTCATGTGCACCGGGCTGGTATTTTGGGTGTTTATCAGGCACAACGACACACCACTGGTGAAAGCTTCAGGCCAGGAGCTTTGTTACATTCTTCTCCTGGGAGTCTTTATGTCCTACGCTATGACTTTCCTTCTCCTGGCAAAACCATCTCCTGCCATCTGTGCCCTGCGACGCCTTGGCTTGGGCACGTCGTTTGCCGTCTGCTACTCAGCACTTCTCACCAAAACCAACAGAATTGCGCGGATTTTTAATGGCGTGAAAGATGGGGTGGGCACAGTTAGGCCACGCTTCATTAGCCCATCATCTCAGGTAAGCAGATGGAGCAGAGTGTCAATGCACATGCAACAAGTAGTGAATGTCTATGACGTCGACTGAATGTCTTCCCTGTGATTTCTAGGTGTTCATCTGTTTGAGTCTCATTTCCGTGCAATTGGTTATGGTTTTGGTATGGTTGCTGGTGGAGGTTCCCGGAACACGGCGTTTCACACTGCCGGAGAAGCAGAAGACTGTCATCCTCAAGTGTAACGTCCGTGACTCCAGCATGTTGTTGACACTCGCATACAATGTGCTGCTGGTCATTCTGTGTACTGTGTAAGTGTGTCTCAGATTGAAGCATCAATATGATGTTTTTTTGATGAAGGAAATTGGTATACTTATCATGTATAACAACAAATACAGCTTCATCACAGAACGATTAACAAAAAAAAAATTTTGAAAATGCACCTCAAATACCTTTATAACCTAGGAAGCATGTGACCAGTTGTCATACTACATGATTTTTTTTTAAATATAATTTATCCGTTACCTAATTTTACTAACCAAATCTTCTAAATAGTTGTACACAAAATACATCCTCCCCTTAAGAGTGGTTCTCAGTTATTTTCTGTCATGCACCACCTTGGGGACAGAATTATTGAATGTCATGCACCACCTTGGGGACAGAATTGTTGAATGAGTTGCCAACTCAAAATCTGATTGGTTAAAGAAATAATGTAATTGACATTTGTTGTAGGCTCAAGGCACCCACACTACTGCATCTCAAGGCCTTAGGGCAGATTTATTTTACCCCTGCATCTCAAGGCCTTAGGGCAGATTTCTTTTACCCTGGTAACACATGATGACTGAATATGATTGGATAAAAAACTCAAGCATGAATAAAAGTGTGTGGGGACGGTGGCGCAAGTATGGAGAGGACCCAATGGCAGGAAATCAGGTCAGGTTTAAACCCGGTCTCTGCTGAAGCTAACCGGCTCACTTCAGTTAGCACAGGTTGATGAATGATCAGGAAAGAACAGGCAAGGATCAAGGGCAGAGACAAGGTCAAGGTCAAGGTCAAAGACAGGTCAGGCCGATACCAGAGAAGCAGTCAGGAAACAAGTGCCGGAGAGCCTGCATGGGAGGGAGGACAATCAGGCAAGGAGCGTTCAAGGCTTTGTTTTGGTCTATCTATTTAAGTACATTTAAAAATGAATTTGTGAGTCGAACCTGCAAAACCAAAACTCTCGGGGTTCTTATTTATTTTTAGGTAGTGTGTATGTGTGTGTTTTTTTTAATCTAATGTGTTCTGTCATTTACTTCTTTAGGTATGCCTTCAAGACTAGGAAGTGCCCAGAGAACTTCAACGAGGCTAAGTTCATTGGATTCACCATGTACACGACCTGTATAATTTGGCTGGCCTTCCTCCCTATCTTCTATGTCACATCAAGCGACTACAGGGTACGAAAGCCCACACAGATACGTACAGAGAGGGTTTTGTGTGTTTGTGAGCACTCGGTTATGCGTTCCCTCACCTATGACTATTTTAAATAGGAGCAGATAGCGTTAGTGTGAACTAAGATAAATGACGTGTAAAAGTCATGCATAAAGGCGAAAATGCTTTCATCATTTTCTACGCCATCTATTGGGGAAACGTGGGTATTGCAGGGAAAAGGCAAAAGTATAATGATAATATAAGTAAATTATATATTTTAGATAAGTTTGGTGGGCCGGATTAAAAAACGTTAATCTGGGCCTTAGTTTGCTCATGCCTGCTCGAACCTTGGACAAATGTATCCATCCATCCATTTTCATCCGCTTATCCGTTGCCGGGTCGCGGGGGCAGAAGCTGCCACCCAAATCACATTGCACTGTACCAACCCCCCAAACCTTCCTGCAGGTGGTGAGTCCACCGGAAGGTACCAACCGCCCTAAGCGGGATTCGATCTTGCCCAGGAGGTGAACCCTGGGGTTCCACACCAATGACAGAGACATTGCCTCTGGACCAAAGCGCCACCACTAAATGTATCATTTTAAACTATCCCTTGAATTAGGACCTGCAAAATGTCTCCACAAGGACAAAGAATGTCTATACAAAGATTACACATAAAAAAAAAACCTATCATCTTTTGGCTGGGTTTGCAACTAATACTCGACTTACATATTAAAATAAACAATTTCACGTTTGCTATTTTCACACTGACAGCTGCTTGAGGGCACTCTGGGCATGTGTACCAGTATCTGCTACTCCTGTACCACTGGAAATTTACGCGTTCGTGATTTTCACACTGACAGCCGCTAGAGGGCACTCTAGCTGGCTGGTGCGAATTATATTCTACAGCGACTTGTACATGTTTAGTTTCTTCTTCATTATGCTTTTTTTTTTTGGCTGCTGCAACTTATACTCCAGAGCACCTTATAGCCTGGAAAATATGGTACTATAAAAGGCAGATCAAGTAGTCCCTCGTCCTTTCTCTGTAAACCAGTCTATTTTATTGCCCTGGTCAGTATGTGAGTGGTACCTATTTATTACTTTATCTGTAGTCAGCATAGTAGCCTTATATTCCAGAGCAAACTAGCAGAGGTGGGACCAAGTCATTGCTTTGCAAGTCACAAGTAAGTCTCAAGTCTTTGCACTCAAGTCCGAGTCAAGTCTCAAGTCAAGACAGGCAAAGTCCAAGTCGAGTCCAAGTCCTGCCATTTCTGTTTCAAGTCCTTTCTAGTCCTTTTCAAACAAAATAACAATATATTTACACAGATCACTTTGGGTTTTGGAGAAAGTATCGAGTCTTGTCGAGTCAAAGGGCTCGAGTCCAAGTGAAGTCACGAGTCACTGACGTTAAAGTCCAAGTCGAGTGGCAAGTCTCTTTACATTTTGTCAAGTCTAAAGTCATCAAATTGATGACTCGAGTCTGACTCGAGTCCAAGTCATGCGCCTCGAGTCCACACCTCTGCAAACTAGCCTATACATTACAGAAACTTTTTTGACAAAACTGTTTTTTTATATTGACATTTTAATACATCAATTAAGCCATGTCCTGCAATGAACTATTATTTTATTGCCAGCCGCAACAATGGTTCATAGAAGCTCAGATCATTTCCACCACCCCATAATCTTGCAAAGGACTAAGCCAGGCATACGCAAACTACGGCCCGCAGGCCTATACGGCTGGGCTTTCGAATCAAGTCAAATATTAGTATAAAGTTGCATGTTGTTATGGCAAAGATTTATTTCAATTTGTCATAACGAACGACTGCAAATTTTGCTTATCCCACTAGATGGCAATAAATGAACTGAAGAAAAAGCTTGAAACGCCTGTATCACACTGCTTAATTATCTTTGATCGTGTCATTTTTTTTGTCACACCTCACAGCTGTACATAGATGTAGTAGTCGTCTATTTAACCGTTGTTAACAATACTTGAACAGATACAGTACATTGTTCTGTATTTGCATTGAATTCATCCATCAACGTTTGGCACATGTCCTCTTATCTTTTCTGCTCTGCAGGTCCAGACAACCACTATGTGCATCTCAGTTAGCCTGAGTGGCTTTGTGGTCTTGGGCTGTATGTTTGCACCTAAGGTTCATATCATAATGTTTCAACCCCAGAAGAATGTGACCAGCCACAGACCGAACCTCAATCGCTTCAGTGTGAGTGGGGCTGGACCCACGTTTGGATCTCATGGTAACATGCATGCAGTCACCTAGTCTTCATAGTAAAGGGAGGTCTGGAGCAGTGCACCGTTGTTAGGCCTTTACTGAAAGGGATACGCTACAGAGCACATAGCCCTGGGTTCCATGACAAGGGATGGAAATCAAGAACTGGTTTTCTTGCGCAGAGTGGTCCAAGTTTGAATCATTAGTCTGCTTGCTTAGAAGTGGTCTCACGTTTAGTGGCATTTAAAAAAAAAAAAAAAAGACACTATGGCTGTCTGCAAGACAGAGCTTTTACAACAAAAGGTAGGGAAATCCTTACAGCATAGAGAAAGACTTGAGCAAACACCATCAAATGAATTTATAATTATTAATGCCTTAATCTCATTCGGTCATCATATACAGAGTGGAACCTCAATATACACAGTGGAACCTCAGTTTTTGATTTTTTTTGTTTTTTTTCCTGTAGGGCGTTCGTGAACTGAAAAGTTTGAAAACTGGAACAATTCTTCTCATAGTAATCAATGTAAAATGGATTAATCCATTCCTGGACCCCGGATGACTGCTTATTGAAACTTTTTTAACAGTATATTTTGTGTACAAGTTCATACATGAATATATATATACGTGTATATCCCGAGCGTGAACTAAGGCAAGACTGACGTCACACGCATAGTCACCTGCATGATATTGTTGGCTTGTTTGGCAACTGAGATATGCTCCGAAAACCGGGTGCAATTTCTGGTTGAAAAATGTTTGTTTGTGAAACGAATTGTACGAAGAGGGAGGTTGTTCGACACACGAGGTTCCACCGTATCTGGATTTAGTTTCACGGCTTGTGTTGAAGTTTTAGCCTGTCCCAGGAAAATATATTTGTAAAACAAATGTCAGCTTCAAATGATGTGGCTTACATCAGAGTTCCATCCCTACCACCTAGCCCTAATACTAACCCTAACTCTGGCCTAACTTGATTTTTACCGTAAGTAGGTACTCACATACTGTACAGCAGAGGTGGGACCAAGTCATTGCTTTGCAAGTCACAAGTAAGTCTCAAGTCTTTGCACTCAAGTCCGAATCAAGTCTCAAGTCAAAATAGGCAAAGTCCGAGTCGGATCCAAGTCAAGTGTCAAGTCAAGTCCCAAGTCCTGCCGTTCCTGTTTCGAGTCCTTTCGAGTCCTTCCACTCACTGCCACTCGTTTTTTGTTGACCATCTCGTAGTTTTTAAATCCGAACAACACGATCTTTGGTCTCATTTTCTCTAACCCGCGCATTGTTTGACAGCTCTTTCTCATTGGTTGTCCCGCAATTTGATTGGCTCGATGCTATCGCGTCAAAACAACGTGGGTCTGATTTGATTGGATGTTGTGCCGACAGCACATACACACACAGACGCACACACGTACACAATGAGTGATACACAGCGCTCCTCAATAACTTACTTTTAATATTTGGGTTTTGGAGAAAGTATCAAAGTAGCGAGTCTTGTCGAGTCAAAGGGCTCGAGTCCAAGTGAAGTCACGAGTCATTGATATTAAAGTCCAAGTCGAGTTCCAAGTCTCTTTACATTTGGTCAAGTCGAGTCTAAAGTCAACAAATTGATGACTCGAGTCTGACTCGAGTTCAAGTCATGAGACTCGAGTCCACACCTCTGCTGTACAGTACCTGTATCACTGACCTACACTAACACAGTGGACAGAAGTCATTGATATTAAAGTCCAAGTCGAGTTCCAAGTCTCTTTACATTTGGTCAAGTCGAGTCTAAAGTCATCAAATTGATGACTCGAGTCTGACTCGAGTTCAAGTCATGAGACTCGAGTCCACACCTCTGCTGTACAGTACCTGTATCACTGACCTACACTAACACATCATAGGAGTCTGACTTATGCCTGGGAGCCATAATGAAGGTGAAAAAGTTCCCAATAAAACAACACAAATGAAAGAAAGCAAATATAGTTCAAGCCAATGTATGGCATACAATCAGTGAATGTAAACAGAAAGCCGTCTTGTGGGGAAAGCACCAGATGAGGGAGTATTCGTCCACCCCGCTCACCAAGTAGTTCAAATGTAAAATTTGTTTTAACGCCGTACCTTACAATGACGGAGCAAGAGTTTCGTTAGTATTTTATGGGAGATGACAAAGTAACCGCGAAACGCACTAGGTTTTCGTAAACCGAGGACCTCCTGTGCTATCACCACCACGAATAAATATATACAATATGTTTTAGTCTGCTTAGACTATTGAGGTTTACCTTGAAACATCTTTACTAAAATGCATTGTCCTTCAGAATCCCATGTCTTCTCCTTTGGTACTTGTACTTTTATAGTGTGTACTGTGTGGGCATATATAGTACAGTGTGTTATACTTCTGTTGTTTGAAGCTAATATTCATTCAAATATCATTCAAAAGAGAACTTTTTAGTAAAGTATGATATGAAATGTGTAATTTTTGTTTTGTTTTTTTTGTTCTGTCTTTTCCCAGCTTCTGTCAGTGCCCACTGCGTACCCACTGTGTGCAACGGGAGAGAAATTGTGGACTCTACCACGTCCTCTCTGTGACCAGTCCCACAGTTCACGCTCTTATTCCGTTTTTGTGACTGTTAAACGACTCATTAACGCCATCGTTCGTTCCGAACGCGTCCCTCCGCTCTATACTGTACATACACACTCGATCTCTCTTGTGGACTAGAACTTAGACTCAGAAATGCAGAAAGTGTGCTACTGTACTTAAATTATTTTTAGGCTTGTACATATATGGGATCTCCATTGTTGTAAGTAGAAAAACAAAAGACATTTTTAGACATTTTCAGGGGTCTTTGTTTTCAATAGCTTTGTTACGATGTAATGTAAATATAAAGGATTTCCTGATAATGGGAGGGTGTATGTCTGTGTGCGTCTCAGTCCAGATAGAAACCTGGCTCTGCTTAACTCTCCTGCAATACCTGAGAATTTTTACTCTAATATTTTTTGTAGTTCTCACTGATATACCTTGTAATTTCTGTATGCCTTTCTAGGGTTTATCTGTACTACCGTCTATGATGTTACCTGTGATTTGCACAGCACAACATTGGCAGCCAAGGTATAAACTGCAGCAAAAAATAAAATATGTGTGTGAGTGCATGCAGGGGTGTCACAGTTTACACTTCCCGGTTCGGTATGTTTCTCGCGTTTTTTTGGGTACAGTACAGTGCGTAGTTCATCATTTATTTTCATAGATATTAAACAGAAAGCAGTTCAATTTACGGTCTACCACCAGTTTTTTACATTTACAACAGCATTTATCTACTATCATTAAATTCTTCCCCCCCCCGGGAAAACAAAATCATTCTGTAAATAGCTGCGTCAACGACTTTTGCCTGCTTTCCTCATCCATCCGTCTTTAAAAAACAGTGCAAAGAAGCCGTTGCATTCGTAAACTTTTCCTTTTTCCGATGTATCTGGGCGATGCCATCTGATGTGCATAACAAGTGTCTTTGTCAGCTTATCGCAACAACACGAACCGTGTTTGTCCCATTCAGAACTCGAAACCCCATCGCCATTGTTATTAAAGCGTACTTTAATGACGCAGGGACAGCTAAACACTCCTACGTATCTTTGAAATTAGCCGTAGAGTATGTACGGTAAGGCCGCAAATTTACTTTTAATAGCAGTCGGTAAATAGCACAATACAGCCCCCTGGATTGTAGTGCGGCTACTGCAACAGTTCAAGACAAATGCAAATACCGTACAAAAAAAACGTACAATACATGGCCTAACCTGTAACCTGAGTCCAAACCTGATTGTTAGCTCCAGATATTAACGTGCCACCATTTTCTTAATAGACCTTTTGTAGTAGCCGTAGTCACTTTTTATTTGGTTTGCTTTGTGCTTTTGTTTAAGTTTTCTACTTCTGTAGTTGGTTGAGCTGCAGACATGTGAGCCAATGTAATATTAATATGAATGGCAAAGCACAAAACCATTTTTGAGGTACAGTAATACATCAATGATAGAAGTAGGTTATCTTCATCTTTTCTTATCTTTCTATTTGACCAGGCATGGGAAAACATAGGGCCTGGGGGCCGGATGCGGCCTGTCCAGCTTTTCAATCCGGCCAGCCAAACTTTTCCAAACCCACGTTTCCCCAATAGAGGGCCCCCCTGTTCAATTTTAGGACAATTTTAGCCCGTGAGTCAAAACGTTTGCCCATGCCTAGACGTTTTTTTAAAGCCATTCTAAACAGCCCTTGTATATATATCTTAATTAAAAAATAAACCTTACAAAGCTGAACATATTGCCAGTATTTTAATGGACTAAATTATTTTTTAGACATTTCAGAATGGCTTAAAGGACTTGACATGATTGGTTCTCGATGTCATGTCACATGATTAGGCTTTGCAAAAAAAAAGCTAGTGCTTATTTGCAATACAAACCTTGTATAAAGTCACGCCAGCCATAATATGACTCAAGTCACAGTTTTTATAATGACTCGTGTGTCGTGAGCAAACACTAGGGGGAGCCAGGCGCACATAATCACAATCACATTTTGAATAATTAGGCAAGGCATTTGTGGATCAATATATATTGTGTCACTCAGAAGACAAACTATTCAAACTACAAGAGGTCGTCGACTTACTTTGAAATGCCATTTGTACGGTGAAACTCGATTTACACAAGTCAGAACTTACATACTGTACCACATAACATCACGCACCTACGTTAACACAGTGGAAACATCATAATCTAAAACATAAAAACATCAGAAGTGTCTGATTTACCCATAATAAAGGGTAATCATTTCCTAAAACAAACAAGACATACAAAAGTAAGCGAATGTTGCACATTTCAATGGATGACTTCTACGTTAACACAGTGGAAACATCGTAATCTAAAACATAAAAACATCAGAAGAGTCTGATTTATCCATAATAAAGGGTAATCATTTTCTTAAACAAACAAGACATACAAAAAAAAAAGCGAATGTTGCACATTTCAATGTATGGCTTTCAACCAGTGAATGTAAACAAAGCCATCATCGGCATAAAGTGCCACATTTCAACGTATCTGTCTACTGCACCAAGTACTTCATACGGAAAACAGCTGGCAGGTTTTAACGCCATATATGTGAATGATGGCGCAAGACTTTCTTGATAAATGTATGAGAGATGGCGACTTAACAAAAAAGCATCTTAGGTCAAAGACGTCGTAAACCGAGGACCACTGTATATGCTTCTTGACTGATCACTTTTTGAGATGTTCCACAAAGGGACAAGGTTTTTTAACCTTCACTTAGTGAGATTTAAATATTTGTCACAAAACCTAATAGTAGAAATGCTGAGACCAGTGTTGACCATTTGTTGTACCAGCAGCCTGAACAATTGTATTGTGACATCAGTGATGTCAGTGACCATCAGTGATCAAAAATTCCACTTAGACACCAAGATTCCACTACCACCCTGGTCAAAGAAGTTAAGATTAAAGTGACTTGTAAAACCCACATGTCGATTTCAGGGATAATGTCATTTATTGTTAACGGAACTGTTGGTACATACCGTAATTTCTGGACTATAAGCCGCTACTTTTTTCCACACGCTTTGAACCCTACAGCTTAAACAATGATGCTGCTAATTTATGGATTTTTACCGGCTAATGAATTTCATATCGCTAGCAATCAATGACTTTTCTGTTATGATGCTGCTAATTTATGGATTTTTACCGGCTAATGAATTTCATATCGCTAGCAATCAATGACTTTTCTGTTAAACTACTGTGTGTTATACTTGTAGCACATGTCTGTCTGTAAATGGTTGTGGGCAAATATGTGCGCAGGGCGCATGTAAGAGAACAGCAGCGAAAGTTGAGAGCAGTTCGAGTCCTGTAATGTTGAAGCGTGAGTTGGTTCTACAGGAGCTAAGTTAAAACGCTGTTTTTGTACCGTTGCGCTCGGGGTGGCTGATAATAAAGACCCCAACTTCCCTGTTTCTGTTTACCTCTGCTGCGGACAAGCACAAGCCCTGGTGCTAATGTTAGCTTCGGCCTTGGCGTCTCCCCTGTGCATTCCAACTACAGTCAGGGCGTCAAAGCAGGAAAGAGCTAACGTGTAACCAGCCGTGTTACAGGCACTGTTCGGAAAAAAAGTGAAAAATAATCTTTGTAATAGTAATGTGTTATTACAACCGAGACACCTGCAGTTTATAGAGAAGTGCGGCCTATATATATGTACAATTTTTTTTTTCTTTTTAAATTTAGTGGGTGAGGCTTATTATATTCAGGTTCGAAAATTACAGTAAGCATATCCAGAAACACACTCGTTCCTGGATGGAGAATATAGACGGTGTTTTACTGGCGATTAACCTCTCTGTGTCGTGTCTGCCTAGTGATCTCCTAGTATCAGCTAACGCCATGTTCAATGTTAGCTTTACTTTAGTGACATGAGTGTTTACTGTTGACTTTAAACCTGAAGAAGATCAAGGCTAAAAAAAAAACAAAACAATGCGTTAAAATCTATACTAACTGGATCTGCAATATCTGGTGTTCCAGCTTTCACAAGTAGGAGAACAAGCCTTTTATATTGATCATTTTACCTAAGGTGTTGAAGCTGACTCAGGGGAGTTCTTTGTTTAATTGATGGTTTCAACCTCTCTGTATATAAATATATATAGAAGAAAAATAAATAAAAAATACCCATCATACTGACTTTGTGTTTTTCCAGTGAAGCAGCTCCATTAAGAAAAGAAAGTTGAGTGGGAGCATATATGGATTTAAGTGAACTCAGCAGTTTGAAATGCAGTGTTAAATATGTTAATGTTCAGAGGCACAGGAGCAGCTGGCTTTGGCATTCACACAGTATCTGCTCCTGACAGATCCCGGCCAACACCAGGATGTAAGAAGATTTCAAAATGTAACACATTCAAAACTTTATAGAACACAACTGCCCATCAGAATGCGACTATGTGGTTCAACGGGTGCAAACTGTTGTGCGGCATTTTGAAAAAAAAAAAAAAAAGCAGTTAAAGACATCATTTGACATTTAACTAAGAATTCAATGAGTAGATTAATTATGCATAACATCATACAGGGAGTTGAAGAAAGGCTCATGGGAAATTGGTGAAGAATTTCACAGCTCTGTCTGTCTGTTTTTGTTTTTTTTAGTTTTTTAAAGCCATCTGCTGACGGAAGAATTTATTGTTACTGCCTGTTATTGCCAACATAGACAAAGAATGACAAATTATTTATAGTAAATAAAATAACATCACAACATTATTTCCTATGATACACCTGGTGATCTCTTATTGCATATCACTTTGCATAGTTAGTTTAAACCTATAACCTAGATACATTCCTCCACTTTTCCCCTGTTAAAAGGGTATTTTAGGAAGAATTACGTTTCATTTCAAGACCTATTTTTCAAACTGTAAAGTCTATTGAGACAAATGTATTTTGTGAATTTGGGCTTTACAATTAAAATTGACTTAACTTTTATGATTTTATTTATATTTATTAATGTGCTGCCGCACCGTGGAGGTTGGGCTGTTCAACTCAGTGATTATTTACCGATGTGCCCTTAACCTGTCACATTGTAATGCAGTACTCAATTAGTGGTGCAAGTCCGGGCACCAGGGATGGTGTGAGGCTTCCAAAGGAATATGGCACAGACATAAGTGTATCACTGCTGTAATGCTTGAATGATAACAAGTCTCCAGTCACTAGGTGGCAGCAACTCAGTTTTTACAGTCGTTTGTACAGATGAAAACATTATCGGACTCTTAATAGCATTTCAATTTGCGGGTATGTGTGTCGGTTGGGGGCTCGAAAACATGACAGAAAATAATTGAGAACTATAGTTTTAATGCAACAAATTCAAAAGGGACACCCTTACCCTCTATGGGGTGTAGCTTCATGTATGTTTCCCTGCGGGATTGCACCATGTTAGACATTCCAAAGGAAGAAAGGTCCGATAGTCCTCAGACAAAAAAAAAAAAAAAATCAGTTAAAAGGCAAAGTAAATGTAAAGTGACCAATTTTGTCAACCAGGCTTAATCCTAATTGGGGGCAGGGGTGGCTTGGTGGTTAAGGAAGTAGACTTTAGTCCAGAAGGTTTCAGGTTTGAGTCCACGAGCTGCCAAGTTACCACTGAGGTGATCTGAGCAGAGGACACATTGCGTTGTGTGCAGTTGTGTGCAGTTGTGTGCTGTGTCACACTTTTATAATATTATTTGTTTGTCATACTGTTATCGTTTCTAAAAAAAAAAAAAAAAAAACACACAACCTTTTATATTGGAAAAATAGGATAACATAACCTACAGTTACCGCCACAATATTAAACTGCATTTCAAAGTGTAGTCTAAAAAAATATTAGTGTAATTTCCCTACTATTGAGCGCACCTGAATATAAGCCTCACCCACTAAATATAAAAAAATTTAGGCCACACTTATATTTACACAGAAAGATATTTTTTCACTATTAATTAAAAAAATGCTTTTTTTCCGACCAGTGACTGTAACACGGCTGGTTACACGTTAGCTCTTTCCTGCTTCCGCACCCCGACTGTAGTTGGAATACACAGGGGAGAAGCTAACATTAGCTCCGGGGCTAACCTTATTTTGTGCTTGTCCGCAGCAGAGCTAAACCGAAACAGGGAAGTTGGGGTCTTTATTATCAGCCACGCACAACAGTACGTAAACAGCGTTTTAACAGCTCCTATATAACCAACTCACACTTCAACACGACAGGGCTCAAACTGCTCTCAAGTTTCGCTACCGTTCTTTCTCGCGCGCCCCATATACGCGCAAAGACAGATGTGCTACGAGTAAAAGACACAGTAGCCTACCGGAAAAGTCATTGATCACAAGCGGTATGAACTTCTTTATAAATCCACAAATTAGCCGCATCATTGCTTAAGCCGCCGGGTTCAAAGTGTGTGAAAAAAGTAGAGGCTTATAGACCGGAAATTATGGTAGATGGTAGAATTAACCCTTTCATGTATGACGGTCACTACAGTGGACAGCTATTAAAATGTCATTTTCTATGATAAGAATAGGTTTTGATGGCAGTGTTGCATATAAGCCTCTACAGTGGACGCCTGAGAATCTACTGTATATCTACTTATATGCAATTATTCTTATCATAGAAAATGACATTTTAATAGCTGTCCACTGTAGTGACCGTCATGCATGAAAGGGTTAAAGAGAATTGAAGTCACATGCCTGCTATTTGAGGAGTGGAGAGTTGTTTTATTTGAAAATGAAAACTGAAAAGTGTTGGACTACCTTTGGATTTGAAATGCTGCAAAATGTTGAGTGTGTACCAATGTTCTCTCTTTTTTTTTAACTAATTACATTCAATTACAATAAATACATTTTGTAGATAGAAATATTGTATGTGAAGTTACATTTTTATCCTGGCAAAAGACAAAAGTCTCCTGACACAAGCTGTCGAGATTTGATTTTCAAAAATGTATTAATATGAGGAGACTGGCATTGAGATTTGATGGGTGTGGAGAAAGGAAGAGAGAGAGAGAGAGAGCAGTGCTGTAGCTGCTTTTACTGGATTATACTCAGGCACTCTCACAGCACACAAGTCACATTGCTTTTATAGAAGCTCAAAGCATCCGAGAGATTCTCTCTTTGTTAGTAGAAACCACGGCTATTCAACTCAGTGGCCCCGCTCCCGCAAGATATATCCCACGTGGCACGTTGCTGTGGACAACTGCTGCCACATCCGTTGCTACAGGAATGCGTGTTTGTCTGCTCGGAAGGAAGGCCGACAGCACGGAGTGAGAGTGGAAAATATAAAAGGAGAAAACGGGGATGTTGGTCCAGAACCAATTTGGCAGCGACTGATGGGATTTTGGCCCAACGAGGACCAGTGATCTGCTCCCAGATTTTAAATGGCCAGACAAATGGAGCGCTTTACCCTGATTCTTTTCTCACTTAGTCCAGGGTCTTGTCACTGAAAGTCTCACACTCTTCCTCTGACCCGTTCCTTCTAAATCCATGTCAACCCTTCACCCTTTCGACTTTTGTTCACACGACTCAACTTGTCACGGACTTGGTGTCAGTCAGAGACGTCCACCTAAAAAGGGCTGCTTTCAGGCTTTGCTGTTCACATGAGTCCTCGGAGTTTAGTTTGGGTTCTGCTGCATCTGCCACGGGAAATGGGCCACACAGTGACAGCTGCATCGGCCTACGTAAACGGTGTAATATCGCAAAAGACCCGTTTTAAGTACGTACATTTACATGATGATACAAAATGATATCAAGCGATTAGTGTTGGTAATGATGATCAGTGATTGGAAGGAAAGTTGATTCATTTTGGGTGTACGACGAAAGCCTCGTTTAAGCCTATTGGTGTTGGTCCAATTACAGCTGACTTGTTAAATCTTGGCAAAACCAAATAGCAGAGGTAATGAATTCAAATTGATAAATCTGGGATAAATCTTTCACCTCGAGGCTTTGACTAAAATGGGTCTAGATGCAATAGTAATCGTTCTTTTTTATATTATGGGCTGTTGTGGTTTTATGTTGACAACTTGACATCAGCCCCACCTTTTCCACCTTTTCCACCTTTTCCGCCTTTTCCGCCCATGGTCTGTTTAGCAATAGGCACACACCAGCACTGTTTATTATGTTTGTTTGTTTTTTGGCAAACAAGTCCAGCTATGTTAGAATGGCCAGTAAAATGAAGGAGCAAGAAATACACGAAGAAAATAAATAAAGTGTTGAAGAAACTGTCTGCAGCCGTCTTCTGTCCCACACACTGGGTCTAAAATACTTTTAACATCACGGAAGAAACTGTCTGCAGCCGTCTTCTGTTCTTCTGTCCCACACACTGGGTATCTAAAATACTTTTCACATCACGTTTTTTTTAATAACGAGAAAGAGATGGACTCTACGACCTAGCAATCACTCCCCTCTGGTGGCGACATTGTTTTATTGCAATTTTTTTTTACCCTGTGCATAGAAACTGCAGAAACGAGTGAAAAGCTAACATGCTTTGAAAGTTGTGTTGAATAATCATAATAGAAAAGAACCTGTTACGTTGCCGCCATGAGAGGAAGCAGGCAGGACCCAAATTCAGCACGAGGGAGACTCTCTTCAGATGCAGGAAGTGTATTCATAATGTAAAACATCCACTTACTGGAATACAGGATCAGGCAGAAACAAGAGGTATATATGCTAGTGATGTGCGGATCGATCCTGAAATATCGATACTTCCGATTCTGGATCTTTATGCTCTGAAATCGATTCTGAAATCAAAATATCGGTACTTTTGATACTTACGCATTCTGAGATGAGGTGTATCCTAAACAGAAACATGGTGAAAAGTATCCAAATTATTGAGATGTTGTCTAAGTGACGCTCGGTTGGTGGGACTACTTCTTCTTCCGCCTGGGTGTGTGCGTCATGCTTAAGCACAGGGGCTCTACTCCGTGCTCTCACTCAGTCACTATTGATGGGAATTTCGGCTCTTTTTTGGAGAACCGGTTCTTTTGGCTCGGTTCACTGAAAAAATCCGACTCTTTCGGGTCCCAAATGGCTCCTCAGATTATTTATTTTATTTTTTTATTTATTTTTGTTTTACAAATAACATGTTTTCAGAGTTTGAAACATTGTTTTGACATATTTTATATGATTGTGTTCTCAGGTTTTTCTATTGTTGTGTTGACTGTATAGTAAATGAGGCAGCTACCTCAGTACACTCCAGAGTTTAAAATAAATAAATAAATAAAAAACTCTGCCTTGGATTCTTAAAGAAGCTATGATTTGAAATACACTTTTTTTTAAATTTGCGTAGAAAATGATAAAAGCTTATTAGCATTTCAGCCTTTATGCATGACTTTTACATATTATTTATCTTTGTTCACACGAATGCTTCATCTATCTGCTCCTGACCCGGCTCCCCCTGTTCAATTTTAGGACAATTGTGGCCTGCGAGTTAAAAGGTTTGCCTTTTATTATTTATTGTATTTATTCTGCTAACACTCCAAAAAGAACGCCACTGCAAACATACGCCTGCGTATTTTCCATTTTAACTTGACAAGGAAGTGTACTGACAGTAGAAAAACTGATCAGGAAACTTTATTTTGCTTTTTTTTTTTTTTTTTTGTTCGTCTGTTTTCAAAGGAATTGAACCGTGATCCGGCTGATTCATCAAGAAACAACCGACAGGAAGAATGATTTAGACTTGACCAACCGATACACAAAGAAGTCCTTTATTCAGAACATACAGCTGATAACAAAACCTTATTCACATGACATCTTAATTTTAATCTGATCAGCAGTTTTAAAGCAGTGTTCTCAATGACAGTTAAGAAAAAAAAAGATGGTGATTTTTTTTTTTTTTTTTTGGCTCTATTGAACGAATTACAAGAATAAATAAAGAAAATGCACTGTTGTCTAAAGGAATATTATTTCAGGCAACAGAAGGAAATAAATAACAACAGAACACAAAAGTACTTTTCCTACCCTGAGCTCTTCTAACTTTTTTTCCGCCACATCTGCTTCATAAGTAAATGTCTGTCGCCCACTTGCTGCACGGCACCATGGTCCCTGAGGGACAGCTATGTCAGCTATGTACCAAGCTTTAGGGCCAACGTGTCAGTACGAGAACCTGCAGTACCTTTTAAAGTGCTGTACGCACGCTTGAGATACCAAGGGAGAGAAGCTGGTTAATACATCTGAAGGAGTTTTCCTTTGAGGGTCTGGTCTCAATCCCCTTTCTCCCCCTCACGTCACCGCAGTTCTAGCTCCACACTAGTGCCTTTGAATGGTTGTTCAGCTGCACGTTTTCAAACATCCCGTCAGTTCCCTAAAAAAGCAGAGAGAAATGTTTTCTTTTATTTTACTAAAATGAATTCATTTAGTGGTTTGTACCAAGGACCGGTCGGCCGGTATCGGCCAGTAATATTGCGCCATCGTTAAAGGATCATTAAATAAATCGAAATAAAATAACTTCGAGACTTTATTCTGTTAGTATCATCAGTCTGAAAGTATGACTGGATTCTTTTTGAATGAAGTAAGTTAGTAAAACTGAAGTACATTTTTTTCCACCATAACCCACCACGGCCCGGTACCAAATGACCTATTGATCTGTACCGGTCCCCGGACCATGGTTGGGAATCCCTGATTCGGACTCACCAGTTAAATGAAAAAAACACTTTCCAGTTAATTACGTCATTACAGTCGCACAATTACAACAGACGGACAGATTCTGCTTCTCTTTCCTTTCCCATGTGGTCATGACTGCAATGCATGATGGGATGTGTAGAGTGTACGTCGAATAAACACTAGATTTCGAGGTACACTGACTGCCCTTTATAGTGGACAACTACTAAAATGGCAGTCCCCCTATATGGTGCACTAGTGATGTGCGGATCGATCCTGAAATATCGATACTTCCGATCTCTGGATCTTTATGCTCTGAAATCGATTCTGAAATCAAAATATCAATACTTTTGACACTTGCGCATTCTGAGGTGAGGTGTATCCTAAACAGAAACATGGTGAAAAGTATCCAAACGATTGAGATGTTGTCTAAGTGACGCTCGGTTGATGGGACTACTTCTTCTTCCGCCTAAGTGTTTGCATCATGCGTAAGCACAGGAGGCTCTACTCCGTGCTCTCACTCAGTCACTATTGATGGGAATTTCGGCTCTTTTTTTTAGAGAACAGGTTCTTTTGGATCGGTTCACTGAAAAAATCCGACTCTTTCGGGTCCCAAATGGCTCCTCAGATTATTTATTTTAGTTTTTATTTTTATTTTTGTTTTACAAATAACAAGTTTGAAACATTGTTTTGACATATTTTATATGATTGTGTTCTCAGGTTTTTCTATTGTTGTGTTGACTGTATAGTAAATGAGGCAGCTACCTCAGTACACTCCAGAGTTTAAAATAAATAAATAAATAAA